GACAGAGAGAGAGGGAAGACGGACAGATAGAGAGAAGACAGACAGAGAGAGAGAAGAGAGAGAGAGAGAGACAGATAGACAGACAGAAGACAAAGAGAGAGAGAGAAGACAGACAGACAGAGAGAGAGAAGACAGACAGAGAGAGACAGACAGACAGACAGAAGACAAAGAGAGAGAAGACAGACAGACAGACAAAGAAAGAGAGAGAAAGAAGAGACACAGAGACAGAGAGAGAGACAGAGAGAGAAAGAGGAGACACAGAGACAGAGAGAGAGACAGAGAGAGAAAGAGAAGAGAGAGATAGAAGACAGAGACAGAGAGAGAGAAGACAGACAGAGAGAGGGAGGACAGACAGAGAAAGGGAGAGGGAGAAGACAGAGAGAGGGAGAGAGAATACAGACAGAGAGAGAGTAAAGACAGACAGATAGAGAGAGAAAGGGAGAGAAAGAAGAGACACAGAGAAGAGAGAGAGAAGACAGAGAGAGAGAGAAGACAGACAGACGGACAGATAGAGACAGAGAGGGAGAGAAGACAGACAGAGAGAAGAGAGAGTCAGAGAGAGAGAGAAGACAGACAGAGAGAGAAAGAGAGAAGACAGACAGAGAGAGAGAGGGAGAAGACAGACAGAGAGAGGGAGAAGACAGAGAGAGAGAGAGAGAGAGAGACAGAGAGAGAGAAGATAGACACAGAGAGAAAGAGAGAAGATAGACAGAGAGAGAAAGAGGGAAGACAGACAGAGAGAGGGAGAAGACAGAAAGAGAGTGAGAGACAGAGAGAGAGAGAGAAGACAGACAGAGAGAAGAGAGAGTCAGAGAGAGAGAAGACAGACACAGAGAGAGAGGAGAGAAGACAGACAGAGAGGGAGAGGGAGAAGACAGAGAGACAGAGAGGAGAGAGAAGACAGACAGACAGACAGAGAGAAGACAGACAGAGAGAGAAAAAAGAGACACAGTGAAGAGAGAGAGAAGACAGACAGAGAGAGAGAGGACAGACAGAGAGAGAGAGAGGA